GTAGGATCCTCTCTTTTACCTTGAGTTTTCGATGGTACTGGTTATAGATCTTGGCGAAGGGCTGTTCTCAGAGCTCTCTCAGTCAAGAGCAAAACAGGGTTTATAAACGGAGCTATTGTGCGACCTGCTCCTACTGATCCTAGTTTCATGCAGTGGGAGAGATGTGACGACATGGTCACATCTTGGATCTTAAATTCCTTGTCCCCTGAATTGCGTGATAGTTTGCAGTACGTGAACAATGCCAAGGAACTCTGGGCAGAGTTGGAAGAAAGGTACGATCAAACCAATGGGTGTAAATTGTATCAACTGCAAAAGGAAATTAATGATCTGGTCCAAGGCACTTTAGACATCACTGGATATTACACAAGAATGAAGAAGCTGTGGGAGGAAATGAGTATCATTGATGTCAATTCGCAGTGTACTTGTGTGTGCATTTGTGGGGGTAAAAGCAAATTACACAAGGCTGAACAAGACAGAAGATTGATACATTTTCTAATGGGATTGAATGAGATATATACGACTGTCAGAGGCAGCATTCTCATGATGAACACACTTCCAAGCATGGCTCAAGCTTTTGCCATATTATCCCAAGAGGAAAAACAAAGGGAGGTGAAGCCTCATAATCATACAGCCTTGGATTCTACCTCTCTCAATGCCTATGGACAGACCAACAACAGTGCAGGATACAAGGGATTTAGGACAAACTACAGTTCATCTAGAGGAGGTGGAACCAGTTTTGGGAATACAAACAATAATACTGGGTTTAGAGGCAATTCTAGCACTAGCAAGTCTTCTTTGTTTTGTGACTACTGTAAGAAATCAGGACACACAAAGGATAGATGTTACAAGCTTCATGGATACCCATCCAATCCAAATCCAAGGTTCCAAAAGGGAAAAGGCACAGGTTCTGCAGCAAATGTGTGTGCCCCTGATATGAATGGAGCTCAATCTGAAGAAGAACCTGAAGTAAGGAGACAAATGCCATTGAACTTGTCCAAAGATCAATATGAACAACTACTCAATCTCCTGGGAACTTTACAAGTTGGAAATGGAGCCTCAAATTCAGACAACTCAAACAACATGCTGAATGGAGTTGTGAACTTGGCAGGTATACTTGCCTGCTATTCTTCTATTACTGATATAGGTGATCTTTCTTGTAAATGTGTTAAACTGACTGCTGGCTCTTGGATCATAGATTCAGGAGCATCACACCATATGACCTATGATAAGACCACCCTCACAAACATCATTTCACTTCCATATCCCTTTTTAATTTCACTCCTTAATGGTTACAAGGTTAAAGTGACTGAAATTGGCGATGCTTGTTTAAATCCAGCTTTGACTCTAAGCAAAGTGTTGTTTGTACCTAGCTTCAAGTTTAATCTCATTTATGTTCATTGTTTAGCACTACAATTCAATGGTGTAGTCAGTTTTGACAAATTTTCTTGTTTGTTGCAGGGCCCTTCTCTGAAGAGCCCTCTGGAACTTGGTAAAGCCAAGAATGGCCTGTACTTCTTATGTCACAAATGCCACAATTGTTGTCCATCTACTGAGAGTAAATCACCTCATGTTAATTGTCATCTTGTCTCTTCTTTAGGCAATACTAGCAGGGTTTCAGATTCTAATGTGTCCACTGGTTCTTCTGTAAAATACTCTCTTATGAATAAGGCAGATTGTACTGTTTTTCCTTCCTCTTCTTTTACTCATGCTTGTCCTTCATTTTGCAAATGTCTCTAATCACACTCATGATGATGAACTTTTGTGGCATGCTAGATTAGGACATGTACCTTTTCTAAAAATGAAAAATATCTCAACTATACCTGTTATTTTTTCTCCCAAACAGCCTTTTACTTGTAACATATGCCCTATGGCTAGGCAAACCAGGATGCCTTTTCCAGAAAGTATCACCACCACCACTAAAGTGTTTAAGTTGTTACATGTTGACCTATGGGGACCATCTCATGTTCCCACTCATGATGGATATCATTATTTCCTCAATATGGTCGATGACCACAGTAGTTCCACTTGGACACAATTGCTGAGATGTAAGAGTATTGTTCTCCAAACTATCAAAGCCTTCATATCTCTCATAGAAAACCAATTCCAAACCAAGTTAAAAGCCATAAGATCTGACAATGGGTTAGAGTTTACTTCAGCTGAAGCCACAAATTTCTTCCAAACCAAAGGTATCATACACCAAAGAACTTGTCCTTATACACCTCAACAAAATGGGGTGGTAGAAAAGAAACATAAATACCTACTTGAAATGGCAAGGGCACTTTTGTTTCAGTCAAAGTTGCTTATGAGGTACTGGGGGGAATGTGTATTGACTGCCACATACCTGATTAATAGACTGCCCACTCAACTTCTACAGAATAAGTCTCCATATGAAATGTTGTACCATAAATCACCTACATATTCCCACCTTAAGAGTTTTGGTTGTCTTTGTTTTCCCACTAACTTGAAAACTCACAAGGATAAATTTGAACCTAGAACCACACCTCATGTTTTTGTTGGTTACCCTTTCAATACAAAAGGTTACAAAGTTTTGAATTTAGCTACCAAGAAAGTTCATATATCAAGAGATGTTATTTTTCAAGAAAAGATTTTTCCCTTTGTTATTGCCCCTGATGGTTCTAGTTTCAATTCCATTTTGCAACTGCTTACTCATACCACTAGCATGACTTGTATGCCTGGTCAAATAAATACTTTTGCTAATGATGATCTACTGGAAAATTTCACACCACATGAAGTCATTAATAATCAAGTAACCATTAATACCAACATGAATGAAGTACCATCTGTTGTCCTACATGAACCTACAACTCAACCTACCTTACCTGATCCAAATGTCACCATGCACCATGATACTTTACCAGTACCCACAATATCAGCACCTAGAAGAGCAACCAGAACCATACACACTCCTAATTACCTAAAAGAATACACCTACACCATACCTAAGCTGCACTCTCTTACTTCCTTTATACCTCCCCATAAACATGTATGTTTCACCCGTCTTTGTTCTGATAGTCAGCAGTTAGTAACAACCATTTCACATGAATGTGAGCCTATTTCATTTGAGGAAGCAATATTGCATCCTGCCTGGCAGCAGGCCATGACACAGGAGTTTGAAGCTTTGTATGCTAATGACACTTGGGAGATGGTCATGTTACCTGATGGGAAGAAAGCTATTGGATGCAAGTGGGTGTACAAAATCAAGCACAAAGTTGATGGAAGTGTGGAGAGGTTTAAGGCTAGGTTGGTGGTCAAAGGTTATACACAACAAGTTGGGGTAGATTACACTGAAACCTTCTCACCTATAGTTAAAATGACTACAGTTAGAACATTAATCTCTTTAGCTGTTAAGAAAGATTGGAGCTTGTATCAACTAGATGTCAATAATGCATTCTTACATGGTGATTTACACGAGGAAGTGTACATGGCACCTCCACAAGGTCTTGTAGTAGGTTGTGATAACATGGTGTGCAAATTGAAGAAGTCTTTGTATGGACTAAAACAGGCCAGCAGGCAATGGTATGAGAAGTTGGCAAACTGTCTATGTTCAAGAGGGTATCAGCACTCAGACAGTGACTATTCATTGTTCTACAAAAGGAAGGGCTGCTCCTTGGTGTTTGTTGCCATATATGTGGATGATATAATTCTAACTGGACCAGATGTGGCTGAAATCAACTCCTTAAAGAGCTTCTTAAATGATCAGTTCAAGATAAAGGATTTGGGCAAACTACACTACTTTCTGGGACTGAAAATATTATACAGACATGATGGGGTGCTAGTTTCACAAAGGAAATTCACTTCTGATCTCCTGAAAGATTTTGATGTGTTAAGTTACAAGGCCACTACATCACCACTTGATTGCACTGAGAAGTTAACAGCTACAGACGGCAAACTTTTATCTGATCCTACTCAATATAGGAAGTTGGTTGGCAAGTTAAATTTTTTAACCAACACTAGAATGGACATAGCTTATAGTGTACAACACTTGAGCCAATTTATGCAATCACCTAGGGAACCTCATTTGAAAGCAGCATACCATGTGCTCAGATATTTGAAACAGGATCCAACATTGGGGATTTTTATCTCAAACAAGCCTGATCTCACTATCAGTGCTTATTGTGACTCTGATTGGGCTGCTTGCCCTGACTCCAGGAAGTCTGTTAGTGGATACCTAGTGCTTCTGGGTGATAGTCCTATCAGCTGGAAGTCTAAGAAGCAAGCAACAGTATCTTTGTCGTCTGCTGAAGCTGAATATAGGGCTGTGAGACAAGTTGTAGGAGAACTAGTGTGGCTTGAAAGATTGTTGAATGAGTTGACTGTACAATGCTCCTTACCTATCCCTGTCCATTGTGACAGTCAAGCAGCAGTCCACATTGCAAAGAATCCAGTTTTTCATGAGAGGACAAAGCACATAGAAATCGATTGTCATTTTGTTAGGACCAAGCTTCAACAAGGCCTAATCACACTCCATCATATTCCCACTGATTCACAATTGGCAGACATCTTCACCAAGGCTCTGATTAGAGTTAAACATATTGCCCTATTGCACAAGTTGTCAGTAATTACATCACCTCCAACTTGAGGGGGGTGATGAGAATATAAAGTATAATTAGTTAGTTGTGAACAGTAGAGTCGGTTATGTACAGTAGAGTTAGTTAGAATCAAGTTTGTTAGTTAGTTAATTTCTGCCATACCTAGATGATCAGTGATTGTATATATATATATAGTCACATTGTAATTCTTAAAGCTTTAATTCACATTCAATACAAACACAAGTTTTCTCCCTTAATTCAGTTACTCTCCAGTCGACTCCATTGACAGAGGAATGAAGCTAATCAATGGTGTTAGTTTTGTCAGACTATGCAGTGGTATTAGCTAGATTTATGTCTCAATCTGCAGGAAAGGGCTAATCTAAGAAATGAAGCTCAAAGATCGGATGTAAAGCTTGATAACAAGAAGACATGGTGTAAATCGAATCTTACATGAGTTGTTCGTGTTGGGGTGAAGTGTATTCAATGGGCTAGGTTTCCATGGCATTCGTGAGAATTTGGAGTGTCTCATGTGGAAACAACCCGACCTCAACTTGTTGCAGCCATCGACGAATCGAATGCACCCACCGGTAGACCAGTTTTCAGCACTCACCATTGCAGAGAATAGCTGAGTCCTGCATTCTGGAATTGGGGATTTAGGAATCTTTATTTCTTTTGTTCTTTTTGTCATTTAGTTTGTTGTCTTAACAGATAGATTTATTAGCTGGGCTGGGTCATTTTGAGGCGTGGTCCCTTTTTCTCATTTTAGTAAAGGGCCCTGGCAGCCCAATTTCGTATAAAAAAATTAGGTTCTTCTTAAAATTTTAAAGTTTTTCTCAATTTTTTTTTTATAATAGACGATAAACTATTATCATACCACTAAAATAAATTCAAATACAAGTAAGAAATACACATAGACTCAATCATCTTTTGAAAAGAGTGTTAAGTTAGTGAGCCTCACGAGCAAAGCCTAATTATATAAAGACTGAATCAAATATTCACTCTTCCTACCGTACGTATTTCATGCATTTAAACATATGTAATCTCTCCCTAATGTATCATAAACTCTCTATTTACACTTTGTGGTCGAAAGATGTTTTGGTTCCTATTATGAATTCAAATGTTATAAATAGTAGCTCCATATATATATAGTTGTTATTGTCTCCTTCTTAAATCTGCTCCAATGTTTCATTTTGATCTTCAATAGCTCCACAAACATGTATTTGTTATGTAGATGTAGTCTAGTCCAAGTCTTAGTTCACTGCCTCTCATAATTTTTATTCTTTGTAAGACAGTAATGTTCTCGATCCCCTATATATATGTCTGTGTTCTAATCTTCAACCTATATAGTTGTCTCCAGTACCAGTTACTTGTTGGACTTGGGGCATGTGACCAAAAAGTCTCATTGTTGTTCATCTACAACTCATTCACCCACTTTATCTAGATCAGTACGTCCTTCTTCTCCATTAATTAATTTTCATATCAGCTTTGCCACCACATCTTACGATCCTTAATATTTACATCTCTTTGCTTCTTAAGTAGACATAGTGCATGTCTCATGCCACAAGAGAGACTTTCTTTTTTCCTCAGTGCCACCGCAAAGGAACTCCCTGCTACACTTTCTGTTGACATCATTCAAAACACCATGGGGGGGAGAATAAAGACAACACCCCAAAAATTATGCAAAAAAAATAACAGTTAATAATCAACAACCTACCAGCATATGATAAATATCGTGTGGAATTTTCTGTAACGCCTCGGCTTTCGAAAAGAACTAAAGAGAGGTTCGTCTAAGTCACCATCAATTTGTAGTTTTGGGTCAACTTTAAACGATCATATCTTTTAGCACATAAATATTTAAGTGGCTCATGACCTACCAAATTGAAGGTATGATTCATCTTTCCAACGTCGCCAAGTTTGCTTAATTTCAAGCTCGGAATAAAAAGTTATGCACATTTGAGTGAAGCCTCTCTATTTAAGGCATCTCATTCGTTTTAGAAAAGGATATTTTTGGTATTTTCCTTTTACCACTAGGCCTAACACGTTTTTCATCACCCAATTAAGGGTCTAATCAGACACTAAGTTACTTTTTCACATTCCTAAGCACTTAGAGAAAATAAGAGATTAGAGTTCAAGAGGAGAAAGAGCTAGGTTTTGAGCATTCATCAAGATCCCGTCAATTTTCGCCAAGAACATTGTTCTTTCCAGGTATGTAAGGCTTCTCACAGTGTTGAACTTGTTCGTCCTCACACCATACATATGAATTCAAAGAGTTCTTGAGTAGTTCTTGATTTTTGTTCAATTCTTGAACAATGGAGGTTGTGAATGCTTTTGTGTTTTTAATATTTAGTAAAAGTTGTGTTTACCAAACAGATTGTGTTTAATTCCTCATGTATTCGTGTTGGGTTTGATAATCGAGAAGAGTTTAGGAGAATTTCCCTCATTCTAAACGAGTTAGGTCCCTAAATTGAGTATAAAATTTTGTCAGCTTTCTAGGTATGGGGGGTGGGGTGGCGCACCACCTAGGGCGCCAGAAATTTTGGTCTGTAGTTTGAGGCCTGGTGCCCCACACCAGCAGTGTGCCCCAAACATTGCTCAGTAGTTTGGGCCTGGTGCCTCACGCCAGCAATGCGACGTCGCCTTGTCTTTTTCTTTCCATGCTTCATTCCGGACGTGTTCCTTTGAGTCGTGATTACATTCTCTTCTTTGTATTAGCTTCCATAAACTCCATTCACCTTTGAGGACTCATAGATGTTCAAATCACATGTCTTAATTTACATTCCGAATTAAAGTGAGTTTAAGAGAAAAGTTCAAGAGGTCTTTTTGAGTCATTTTGAGGATTCTTTTGTAATCAACTATGATTTTGAACTAAGTTTTGAGAAAATAAATATGAGAAATGAGAGTTGTTTCCATGTTTGAGAAATGATATAAGGGAACCAAGTATTCCCAAAAGTAATATGTTTACATTTAAAAGAGAGAAACTTTGATTTCTAAATAAATTTACAAGTTCAGAGATATTTCAGAGCATTACTCCTTTTAAGAGGATCTATTGAGTAATTACCTCAAATTGATAAAGAATTATGTTGTATACATTTAAGCATGAGTTATATATTATTGGAAGTAGTATTGAGCACTGATATGGGAATGAGTTCAAACAACTCAAATTCCTCATAAACCATGTAGCCAACATGGGTAAAGGGTCGTACTTTTTAAACGATTCTTTATTGCTTTTAAGCATAGCTTAGTGGATCCACTTAATTGAGGCGTTCTCTATCCCGACAAGGTATAGTATAATTTTGGCAGTGTGGGCGAGACATTGTATCATCACATAGCTCATAGTGATGGTTGTCGATTAGAGAATCTCTCAAATAAGAGTAAATAGTATCTTATTGTATTTTATACACCATTAAGCTCATATCTTCTGCTTTATAATGTTTAAACATTGCATTGTCTTCCAATCTTATCATTTCAGTTGTTTATGCTTTATGTTTCCCCCTTACATGCTCGTACATTAAATGTACTGACGTTATTCGACCTGCATCTTTGTATGATGCAGATACATGTGCTCAGGGTCATCAACAAGCGCTTTGTTGATACCATTTGCATTCCAGCTAGCTTTGGTGAGCCTCCTCACTTTTCGGAGGGCTTCACACTTATTTCCTGCTTTTGTTAGTTTGTCGTGGGTTCTGTCCCGACATCTATCTTAGTATTAGAGGCTTCATAGATAGTTAGATGTTGAGTCTCTTGTTATTTCCCCTTCTTGTTGAGATATTTTGAGATCTTGAGACAATTGATTTTATAACTTCATAAGCATTTCCAGATGTTCATTTGGGTTGAGTTTGATTTAGACTTTAAGTTTAATTATGCAATTGAAGTTCCTATTTCTATTTGAGTAAGTCTTCCGCTAAGTAGTCAGCCAGGCCAAGAGTTCACTTGGGGACCAACGATGGTTCTCGAGTGCCGGTCACGTCCAGAATATAAGCTCGGGAGTGACATTTTCTCAAATTTGTTAAACAAAGTCACTTTTTTTCGTTGCATTATTGACGAAAAATAACAAATAAAAAGCAATTGGCAAATTGTTTGTTGTGCTCGACATTGCTAACACTATTTGCTATCACTATTGACACGTATTTACTGATTGAGTCCACTTGTGTAAAATATTCATGATTTGAGCTCCAAACAAAATAACAAATGATTTTGTTAACTAACAACTAATCTAGACGCCTCTTAACATTGATTAATACTCTCTCCATTCACTTTTATTCGTCATACTTCATTTTACAAAAGTTAATTTAATATATTTTAGGAATTAAATTGAGTTAGATTAATTCAATTATTAAAATTTAAAATTTAGATATTCGGAAACAATACGAGAAATACTATAAGTTGCAATCCTTTTCATACTAATAAGATGCATCTTAAGATGTTGGTCAAAATCCATGCAGTTTACCTCTTGAAAAGTAAAACGTGACACGGAAGAAATATGACTTTTTATATAATTAAATATCTAGTGTGGATTAATTTTTCTTAGCACCAAATGACATTTATGATTATGGTAGATATATAATCAGATCCTTCTGTAATGAGCATGTGCTCATGTTTTAGCCTATTGAATGACATTGTACTATTTCTTATAATTATTTAGCTCTTAGTACCGTTAGTGATCTGTAAATTAACATGAAAGCTAATAATTCCGAACTTGTGATCTTTCTTATCAATTAATTGCATTGTCCAACCGTGATTAATACAGAGTTCAATCTCTGCTTCGTTACTAGTATTATATTTGCTAATTCAAAAATTCAGAATATCACTAAATTATATTACTAGTACTCCTATTAGTTTAATCTATATATATATAGTTGTGGAAAAAGTTTAAACCATATTTATTTCCTTCATTGATTTTTACATATTCACTATAAACCTTACTCGTACCTTTAGAAATAATAATAGGTATTGAAAATGAGTTGGCCGGTAATAAGTTCTTAATGTTAAAGGTAAATGATGGAAAAAAATTCTTGATATATTAAAACTCATAAAGTAAAACTGAAAATTAATTTTTGAAATAGTAGACAGCTAAAAGTGAATTGAGAGATTATATTCCATAACGATTTACTCCCTCCTTTCACTTTTTTTTTGTCTACGTTGAACTTTGTACATCTCTTAAGAAATAATGATCGATATGGATATTTTACCATAATACCCAGATTAATCGATGTTTAATATTAAGTCTTGAAAAGTAATTTGGGGAATAAGTAATTAATACTAAGGGTAAAACATAATTTTTTTTTAAAAAAAAATTGTATGTTAAAAGTGAATTTATATTTGGAATAGTGGACAAGTAAAAGTAAACGGAGGGAGTATATATTTCCTCTATTTTAATTTGTTTGTTTGTTTTGACTTAACACAAAAATTAAGAAAATAAATAAGACTTTTAAATTTGTGATTTTAAATTTAAAATATGAAGAATGTACCAAAAATATCATTTAACTTAGGCATATCATGTAAAAGATTAAAATTAATTAAAGAATTGTTTTAATAAAAAAAGCATCATTTTTTAAATAGATTAAAAAAATAAAACAAACAATTGAAATAAAGAAGTAGTTCTTAAAGTTAATAATAGTGTTATAGTGAATAATGTATAAATAGCATATGCTATGTGGTGCTAGTCAT